CTCATTGGTCTGGCCATGTGCACCCATGCACACACACACATACGCACGCAGGCGCGCACACACACACACCTTTGATCAGGCATTCACATTCACATAAACCTGAACACAAACCATACAGAACATAAATGCACATACAATGTGGATAAACTCTGTATATTGTATGTGCACACACACGCTCACACACACACACACACACACACACACACACACACACACACACACACACACACACACACACACACACACACACACACACTAATGTGCCAATAAGAGCAACCATTTAGTCCTGTCCACACTGAGTTCATGGAGGGTTAGCAGGAGCAGCTCTCCAGCTGGGGTATAAAGATACTAATCAAACACGACAGATGGACACACACACACACGCTCACACACACATACACAGACTTCTATAAAAGTTTGATGTAACCACACCATGCCCAGAGACGCCGTGCACAAAAAAAAAACAAAAAAAACAACACTGCATCAATTATCACATCAACATTCAGCCTTCATCAGCACAGCGGGATTTATAACAGGCAGCATGGAGCCAACAGCAAATAGTCCCTAACTCATTGATCAGTCCTCCATCCAAGACAAACACACTGATGCTGATGAACTGTGATCCGAGGGAACTCTAAAATGCTCACAGTGCTCATAGCAGTTCTCAATCCCAATCCAACACAGAGACCTGGGGACAAACCGAGGCTGAGAACCAGTGGTGTTGCTTCGCTTTGAGCCATTATATCGTGAGACCACCTACTCCGCTGCAATCAGCCCGCCTTTTCCCTCCATTGCCTCCCTGACCTCCAATCTAGCTTTCCTCCTTCCCTTGCTTACCCTCCCCTCTCTCCTCTTTCCTCACTCCTGACTGTCCATTCTGTTAATGCGGCCTACACTCTAAAAACAGCCTGGGCGCATTTGAGTGGCAGGGGCAAGGCAGGGGGGCTCCTGGGTCTCCATTTAGCCACTTCCTGTTTGAGGGAGCCAATATGTATGCCCCTCCAGGCCATTGCTCAGCTTGCCATGTGTAACCGAATGAGGCTTTTCGCAAAAACTCCACGAGCTGGCAGAGCTCAGATCGCAGCTACAAAGACTCGGCTGAATATGCAAATGTTGAAAAATCTACCTCAGCTTGTTTGCACAAACACAGAATGGAATGCTAAATATATGCCTATGATTTGTTCTGGTTTTGTTATTCAATATTTGGCTGATGAGAGTAAGCTGCCTGTCTGACAGAAAACTGATGAACTACCAGCTGGTGAATTACGTGCACTCTTCTTCCCAAATATATACTGCATGCTAATCCTAATCAGAGCACAAAAACAATGAGATATAGTTTCTCAGTGTTGCGCATGCATGCATGCATGCACGCACGCACACACGCACGCACACACGCGCACACACACACACACACACACACACACACACACACACACACACACACACAGTATTAGTTCAGCTGGCTGTCAGGTCTTTAAGCTCACCAAGAGGTCCATAAGGCTGAAGGCTTTTCTTCCTGTCACAGTATGGGGTACACAACTAACTCAGTGTGTATGTGTGTGTGTGTGTGTGTGTGTGTGTGTGTTTATGTATGTTTTCAGCTGGCACCTCTCAACCTTGGCAGCAGCGTGTCTCCTGGCACCCGCAGGAACAAATTTGTCTTTGGGGTTTGGTTCTTCGGTTTTCGTCTCCGATGTGTGTGTGTGTGTGTGTGTGTGTGTGTGGGTACGTGCATGTGTTGGGTTAGGTAGTCGAGAGGTCTGGTCATTATCACCACTACAGCCAGCGAGCATGTGGCCAGAGCAGCAGGGAATAAGGTAAAGCAGGGTGGAGGAGGTAAATAAGGACAGAGCTGAGAAATGATGCTTCGAGGGCAAGGGGTGAAAAATAATGACCACATTAAAAAAAAAAAAAAAAAAAAAAAAAAAAGTAATACGAATACACAATTCACACAGAAAGCACAAAAGTCCTCTTTCTTTCTTCTCAATGTCTCTTCAAAATTAGATACTCACTACTGCAAACCTATCCCCTCTGTAAACATAAGAATACATGCACACAGTGAAATATTTTGCTAGTCACCCAGTGGAATGCCGACAGAATCGTATGTGTGTTTTCCCAGCTTGTCTTAGCTGTGGCGTGTTGTGGTCACTGGGCCTGTGTGTGGTCCTGGTGTGGTTCAGCTGCTCAGACTCATTTCCATTTAAACATATCTGTGGTCCTCAAAGCAAACCACCAATGTTATCCACTCCATTGGAGGTAACACCAAAAGTTTTGCCCTCTGTGTGACCGCCTCTGCGAGCGTACGTTGTCTTCGTATGTGCGCGTGTTAATGCATGGTTAACACTGTGGGTGTATGTACAAATCTTTAGAATGTGTGAATACGTGTGTGTGTGTGTGTGATTCACTTGTCATATGTCTTCCGGTGTATTAGCCAAGGAGATTCCTCATGTAGTCAAGATAATGGCGAGCAAACAAGGATTAGAGTAGTGCGAGTGCTGATGGATAGGTGTGTTTTGAACTGTAGGGCCCCTTAAAGGCATTGTGTCCCAGTGATCAGTGACTCCTCTCTCAGGGGCTCCTTCCCACCACAAACAGAAGTGTGGATCGGATCATTGGGAAGGAATGTGGACGCCTGCTCATAAACTACCTTCACTGATGTTTCACTCGCTCGCTGCGTCTCTGAACGTGTCTCTCATGACGGACAGGGGTTATAGGTGTGACCAGGCTTGTCCGCCTTAACATTTCTGTGCCAAGCCAAACCTTGAAACACACACTTTTTGTCAGATCTTCCAACATATATATTGTCAAATTAAATGTTCTTTTTCTTTTTATCTCTATTTTTCAAAGCTGAATTTAATCGTCAACTGTGTACTTACTGGATGAATGTAAGCTGTGTGTAAACACACTTGTGTGCATCTGCATGGGCTATGTTTCCCCTACCTGTGTGTGTGGGGGAAAACAAGCTTTACAGAAAACAGAGATGAGCATTTATCACTCACAGGACCCTGAGGTGGCAACAGGGCTGCCATTGTGGCATCTCCCCAGAAAGAAGATTGCTTTCCCAAGTCTGCCTTTTTGTACACGTATTGGATGCACTTTCCCATAACTCATCTGGCAAACAGGAAGGAATCACAGACCGGATTAGATGCGTGTTGACTCAAAACAGCTCCAATCCCATTATGCAGTGATAAATGACCCACCAGGGAGTCTTTGGACCAGAACAAGAGGAAGAGCAGGATGAACTGAGAATGATTAGAGAGTCACACAGTTCTGCTCGAGGGACAAGATCAGTGAAACAGTAGAGAATAGATTAGACCACTAGGATGGTGAGAATTACCTTGTCAGTGGAGGAGGAAGCGGGGGAGGTAAGTGGAACTGGCTGAGCTAAGAGGTGGGGAAAGAGACGGAGTCGAGGCATGTCCCGTTGTTGACCACAGGGACCTTGGTGTTGACATGGAGACCACAGCAGAGTGGCCTCCTTCTGGCATTGAAAGAGAACTTTTAGTTGTTATTTTTAATTTTTTTTTTTTTTTTAACTTATTGTGTTCCTATGTGCGCACATACAAACGTTCCAGCGAGAGTTGGCCCGGCACAGTGATCCTGTTCTTGCATGTATGTGCACATGGGTATGTTTGTCAGAAAGTTTGATTGTTTGTGTCTATTTCCTAAACAAATACAGATGTATGTTGTGGTTGGCCTTCGATTCCAGTGTCATGGTCTTTATTGTCTCTCTTTGTGTGGGGGATAAGCCTCTGGGGTACAGGCGTACATGAATGACAGAAGAGGAAAACACCAGATGCACACACACAAATACTTGCATGTGTGTGTGTGCGCGCGCGCACACACACACACACACACACACACACACACACACACACACACACACACAAGCCTGCCACATCTCACAACTCATGTGGAGGGCAAAAAGCAGCCAAACATTTCTCTAACCATTTAAGCAGATACCGTTTTCATGAGTCAAATCTGCCAGCAACAATAGAACAATCTATAGGGATGAGAAGTGATCCTTCACATTATGTCTATTGTTCTTTTCAAGGTCAGCTTTGCTAAAGAGCCTTTCAACAACAGCATACATTTTAAACATTGTTTTATTTCAAAAGTACACAAACAGGACCAATATCGTTCAATAAGGCAAAGCTCAAATATTAATAACCACTCACATCAGAGGACTCAAAATCTCATAGTCACAGTTTATGGGTACCACTTGCAAATCATAAATAAAACTCTTTTTTTTCTTCATATATATATATATATACACACACATATATATATACACACATATATACATATATATATGTGTGTGTGTGTGTATATATATATATATATATATACATATACTGGAACTTATTTTTTTCTCAACATGAAAAAAAAGATCATTAGACAAACATTTCATTACAACCCCCGCCACATATAATCATCTTCATCTTCAGTATTATTATTATTATTTTTTATCTTCAGAATCATTATTGTCCATGAAAAGTCAAGAGTGGGCCAAGGAAAGGTGCGCCTGTCTTTCTCCACATTGGTGTTACGTGGTTCTAATGCCCAGTTCAAAGCCCAGCTACAGAACCCAGCCCTTAGCTGCTACCTGAAAGGACTGAACATCGTGGGTGTCAGTGTCAGTGGGTATTACTGGGCCACTTGTGCAGTTTTTAAGCTACTAAGTGCATTGTTAGAATTATTACTATGTTTTGTATCTCCCCCAAAAACCTCTCTGTGTAGCTCGTGTGATATTGCTAAAGCACCTTAATGATCACTACTTAGCAGCTGTGATAGCTATTCATAACCAATCCTTTCAAATAAGTGTCTTGTAGGGACGTACCTCTGGGCTAGGGGCTTTGTAGGTGGTGAGTTGAAATTGGGCACATTTTTATAAGGGGCAGCAGGAGTGGTTTTTTCTGTGGCATCATTGCAATTCTTTTGTATTCGGAGCCAAGCCGATCCAAGTCAAGTGCTGGATGGAGAGGCGTGGCTAGCTCTGGTCACCTAGGGAACAGCGCCAAGAGGACACAGAGCAGGGTTGCCGCAAGAGACGGAGTGAGACCCGCAGCTCCTCCACACTCCATTGAGTTCTCCTAGAAACAGACAGAGGCATTACATGGACAGACATGGAATATTTTAATAAAACACAAAGGCAGAATTAGAGGAGGATGCATGATGAAAGAGGGTACTGTGTGTTTGTGTGTGTGCGTGGTGCAAGTACCTCAGGGTGAAAGGGGTGACAGGTATCTGGGCGCCTTCTGTCCTTTTGCATTTTCAATCTCTCGCACTTAAGAGATTCATTATGTGCAGCTGAAGTCAAGGCAATAACAGACAATGTGTACCCTCTGCAGGGTGTTTTCCTGCTGGAGTGTATTTCTTGTTTATAATGGAAAGGAATGCATGATTCTGAGAGCACCATGGAAAGAGGCTCTTCTGGAGGCAGGGATATTTTTCGCAAAGCACAATGTGCACACACACACACACACACACAAAAGAGCCGACTTTGAGCAATGTTTGATGAGTTTTCTTTTGTCGCGTAGCAACAGAATAGCAGGCTTTATGCTACGGTAAGCACTCCACAACAAAATAAACAGTGGTGGAGATGTATATACAGCATGACTGTACTGCACAGAATTTCAGAGAAATGCACATTGAAGGAGATTCCAGCTCGGGTATGCGGTGACGAGCTAAGTTCCTTCGGTCCGAATCCACTCCGAGCTGTGTCTGCTATTGATCAGTATCCAATCACAGTGTGGACTGTTGAGTAACACAGTCCAAGCTCACGCACACACATATACACACACTAGTGAAAAAAAACTCATAGCAGAGTGCTGTCTCACAGCCTCGGCTTTAGATCTTGTCGAACACAATGCTCCCATCTCTTCCATTCACCGAGGGGGTAGAGGGCAAACAAACTCCCCAAAGTCTCCCCACAAATTAAGATGCTCTCAGTTATTCCCATCAGAGTTACGTCAATGGACACAAATGGACTGTAATGATTCTGACACTTGGAAGGCATGAGCTAGAAGAAAACAGACAGCTCCAATAATAATAAAACAAAAACATAATCAGATAATATTGATATTTCTTTCAGTGTGGAGAGTCTATGTGGGAGATTGCAACAGGTTGGGATTTAAAATCGCCTTCAAGAACCATCCATCCATTCATCCATTTGTTTATTTGTTCATTAGTTTGTTCATTCTTTCCCAACACCCTGCTTCCCAGTATTTCTTGGGTGTAGAAGCCGCTCCGAATGTTTATTGGAAAGTCACACATCCCTTTGAAAATGTGAGCTGCTGATTATTGTTAATTTCTGTTGTGAGAAGTTAATGAATCTTGTACTGTAACTACAGGTTTGACAGGACTCCTTTATAAATTTCACTTGCTTTTATCCAAATTATCCTCGTGCTGTTTCCTCTATACATTAAGAAAAGAGGCTAGAATTTCCGCCCCCTCCCCCACAGCTCTCCACTCTTTGGCCAGTGAAGGATATACATGATTTCGATGGGGTCCATGGTGATTGGCTCGAACATGCTGCAGTCGCACTTGTTGTCCACCACCACCATGAAGAGATTACTGCTGGGGATCTGCTGGATCACAAAGGACCTGCCAATCACAGCCAGAAACAAAGAGATGAGGAAGGAAGAGGAGAGAGGGAGCATGGGAGGTTGAGAGCCGGATTGGCGAGTAGACAAGGCGCATGGGTATGATGTAAATTTCCATGTGTGTCAGTGGATTTGTGTTATGAGTGTTCACATTCTCCCCTGGCAGAGGAGGAGACGCAGTGAGGAGACTCCACTCGATGCATGTGAAGAGGATGACTTGTCTCACCGCCAGCTGTCAATAAACATACAGAGACGCAGACAGACTCACACTAATAGACACACATATAAAGTATACACACATACTTCTCTAACTCACTCCATCCCCACGTCTTCCTTAACCTCTTCCCTTCTTTTGTCTTTGTTATATCCCATCCAAGGCGAGCACCAATGAAGTGTTGCCGAATATAAAACACTCCAAAGGGAGACAAATGGGAACCACACTTTTGTGCTCATAGCTTCCCATGGCTGTGTTCTACTGGCCTGAAAGATCAGGCCTCGTCTCGCCCTCCTGGCCAGTGATTTATGACCGTGGATAAGCTTTATGAAGAAGAGAGGTCATAAAAATGATCTCTTCTTTCTGTCACCCTTTCGTTCTTTATCTCTTGCTTCTCTCCCTCCCTCTCTTCTGCCACAGCTGGGTGATTTATCAAGTTCACTGTGAGGCATTTATCAGACACGTATGAGTACATGCACGTGTGACTGAGTGAACACACGCAGATGTAAAAATATACACGCATTCACTTTCTCGACTCTTGTGAAGGAGGACAGGAACTAAGACAAAGAGGGAGAGACCTGATGGGTCGAAACAAACCTCATATCTCCAGGAATATCTCCATCCTTTCTAATTCAATACCATGACCAATTTCATCTGACCACAAACAGCCTCCAATCCCTGGGTAGCACCAATCCACCGCACTCTAATACAGTTATTCCACCGTGACCAACCAAACCAAACCAAACCAGCCCAGCAAACAGGCCAAGCCAGTTCCAATCAGGGTGAATTAGGATCTGCTGATGTTTAATAATCTGTGCTCACCCCTGCACAGTGCCGGGCCGGCCCAGCTCAGCCCGCTGATAGAAAGCAGAGCAAGTGTTCTTGGAGAAAAGACTTAAACACATCCTGACAGCACAGCTGCTGGCCTTGAACATACTCACTGCTGGGAAAGGGAGCACTACACCGCATATGAATGCACACACACACACACACACCCGTGCGCGTGGATTCAAACAGTATGCACAGATTTTCAGAGACAGACATCAATGCATGCACTCTTGCACAGACACACAGACGATATAAACAGATAGATGTGTTCTTGACATGGCCTCCTTTGTGCTGTGGCTTCTAGTTATTTTGGCCAGAAGAAAAATGGACAACAAAGACATCCAATATGTCTCTCTGAGAGAGGATAGAGAATGACAGAGAGACAGATCAACCCTTTGAGTGACATAGAGACTGACAGCAAGACAGATAAGTTAGTAAAAGAGAAAGAGATCAAGGTTTAGATAGATGTACTGGGGTAATAGATGAAGACAAACACAATGGCGTGGCGACAGAACGTGTCTTCTTCTCAAACTTCTGACAAAACATATCACACAATCTGTAGCTGAATCTGATAAGAAGTAGCTCTGCTTATCAACATGTTTCCATCACGAAGGAAAATGTTTAATCTTTCCAGTGTCATCTTTATTGAACCTAATTTTAGGGGTTAGAACTATGACAAGGTGATGCTAATTCACAGTGGGTTTAGTGTTTAGGTTTGCATGCTTTGCTTTTAATGCTGAACAGTAGCAAAGTTTTTGTATTTTTCATGGTAAAATTATTCTATGCTCAGTTTTGGCTAAATGCAAAACTTTTTTTTTGTGTGTGTCCTGTAGAGAAGGTTCAAAATTTTCCAATGATTTAATCATTGCATAACTTAACCATAACCATAACTGCATGCACTGTACGGTTTTCAGAAATATCTGTCATCACAGTAGGGAAATGTGACCAGTAATTACTGTGTGTAATTTAACAATTACTAATTCAGTGAGTTGAAATTGCTCCAATAAAATCTCGACAAACAGACAGGCAAGTTTTCAGAGCAATGCTGTCATTTTATTTCCATTTCTCTTATTACTTTCGGGGAAAAACGGGTACCGTGAGTCCAGCATTTAATTTATTTATTCAGGGGGAATAGATAATTTAGGTGGATTTTAGATGTTTTTTTTTTTACACTTTAGATGTTTTTGTTTTTGCATTTCTACCTTTTTTTTTTTTACTTTTCGAAGCTGCACATTTCCAGCAGCTGTGGGTAAAAATGCAGCTTACGTGAGAAAAATCGCATAGTATATGTCACCAGAAAATGTCAAATGGGGACTATTTGCAAAGAAAGGTTCAATTCAAAAATGATCAGAACTCAATTTATCCTAAAAATAAAGAAAACTCAACACTTATAGACAGTTAAAATATCAAAATAACAGAACAGATGTTAACATACCTTTCAAATTTATAAATACTGCTTCCACAAAGATTACTGTAACAATTCTGTTGTTAAATACTGTCTATTCTAAAAAGCACTTCTGTAATTGTCACATTACAATCGGTTCAAAAAGCTGTGTTAAAAAATAGCCTTGTAGTATGTCAGGAGTGACAGCTTCATAATATACACAATTATCTCAGCAATACCATGGTTATTAGTGTTACCCCGGAAAAAAGACACGGATGTGTTTCAAGAATCTCTAACAGATGAAACCACGTCTACATGTCCGACTGTGGAGCTGTAGCTGCAAGTCATTGCAACTTTGAACCTCTCTCTCTCTCTCTTTTCAGGACATGTCTCGTCTTGGACGGTCGAGAGAAACAAAAAGGAGCCTGTGGAGCCGTAGGATATATGGCCACGAGTATTGTCGCTAATAGTCCCCTTGAAGAACTCCTCTGGTTATAGACATGACATGCTCTTTTTTCTAAATCTCATGTTACAGTCTAGAGAAGCTGGCTATGCATTAATGGAGGTTAAGTCATCCTATAGGGCCACTTAAACTGTTATATCATTCACAAGATTACAGTGTTTCTTGTGCTCTATCAGTCTGTTTCACCCATCAGGAAGCAAGAGACAAATACAAATACCCACATCAGACGCATGCACACACACACACACACACACACACACACACACACACACACACACACACACACGTACAGTCAAACAGTACAGTAAAGAGAGGTTTAACAGGCAAAAGCTTAGGGTATATTTCCTAGAGCATAAAGTACACACACGTGTCCCAATGAAAATATGAGAGAAAGGCCTCAGTCAGCCTGTAACGTGAAACAGATGTTTATCACCAATATCCTCTATTACTAATATGAGCTATAAAGTTCCATATAACCGAAATAAAAACTCCATTTTACTTTGTCAAATTCATTGTGCTTTAAAAAAGATTTATTTGAAGGCGACATGTTGCTCGGAGCTCACGGCCCTGCCCGCTAATCCCGGTTCTGGTGTCATCATTGGAGATGAGGCCATTCTTCTCTGAAGCACGCTTATGTCATGTGTGTATGTGCTGGTGGGTGTGCATGTCTGAGAGGGTGCTGCGCCTGTATGTGTGTGTGTGTGTGTGTGTGTGTGTGTGTGTTTGGGGTCTGACTGCATCCCCAAACCTCATTTTACTCCTGGCACCCAGGGCAGTGGTTACCCTGCTGACCTTGTGGGGCTGTACCGACAGCAGACACACAATGAACACACACACACACACACACACACACACACACACACACACACACACACACACACACACACACACACACACACACACACAGTTCTGAGCTTCCCTGGCAGTTCCACAGCTGGGAGCAATGAAGGGCCCATTGGAGGGATCCAGAGAACACCCCACAATTGCCTGACAGAAAAGCCCAAATTGTTAATGGGGACCACACTCATTTTCCCATTTTTAAAGGAAGCCTTTTTTCCACCTCTCTCCCTCATCTCTAAATGCCTTGTATTTCAAACTACTGGGGAAGAGAGCGAGTGTCTGTGTGCGCCTGCATGTTTATCACTGATGGATTGTCTGGATAAAAGAGTTTTTCAACAGACAACAAATGATTTAAATGTGTTTCTCATCTCAGGGATTAGAGAGATAAAAATATTTCGGCAAGATGAGAGTTGACAGCACAAGTCATTTTTCATTGTTAGCTTGTTTTATGGAGCACAGTGGTCATCTTAAATTTGATTTTTGTTGATGTGTTCATTTATGTTCACATGTGACCGGTTGTGTGTCTCATACTTGATGCAGCCGTCGCAGTCAACGTTGCCCGTGTTCTCTTTGATGGTTCTCTCGGAGACAAAGGCCGGGTACTCTGTGTCACATGGCACCTGCATGGTCCGACCCATCCTCTGAGCTGAGGGCAGGAAGGATGGGAGGAAGGAAGGAAGGAAGGGAAGGAATGAGTTAAGTGAAGGAAAAAAGGAGAGAAAGATTAGAAAGGTTAGAAAGAAAAAGGAAGTAAAATAGGAGGAGAAAGACGGAAAGAAAGAAGCAATGAAAGAAAGACGGAGAGAGAAAATGAGTCAAGCTTGGTGGGAAAGTCATGGAACATTCATTTCAAAGTCAAATACACACTTAAAATAGTTATGCAAATATATTGCAAGCTAACAGTTAAACACACCACATCCTTACAAACATACACGTTTGAAAGAAAACAGCATTTCTGAACCAGAGCTGCCTCTTGTCCCGCTGGAGATATTTCCAGTGTAAATCTAGGCCAACCATTCATGCAGCATTGCTTGAACTCTCCTGCCACCCAGAGGCTTGAAACAATGCTGCAGCATGGAAAGGACCGGGGAGGCAAAGTCGCACATTTATATGTTTGAGTTCATATTTTTAAAGCTAATACAAGCCTGATTTGCATATCAAACATAAACACGTAAATACACATGGTTTTATTTTGCGAGATCAGTTTTATCAGAGTGCTCTACACACATTTTTACAGCACACACCGATGTCTCAAGATGGTGGATTATGTGTGTAATTTGAATGGAGTGGTTTAATTACTGGGTGTCAGCAGCGTGGCAGTATTGTGTGAAAAAAATGTGTGTGTGTGTGTGTGTGTGTGTGCGTGTGCGTACAGTTGTATATTAACTATATGCATGTGAGAAACGCAGCCTACACGTATAAACGTCTGGGATTAGTTCAGCTCCAGAGGCTGTGTAGATTGGGTTACGGGCTGCTAAGTTGGGGTGTTTCAGCTGTGTGTCACAGGCCTGTGTCTCTATTGTAAAAAGATATAGAAAGTGCCGCTAAGACCTGAGGCTAGCCAGCTGTGAAATTGTCTCGACTGCTTGGCGAGCACCGATGCCCAGCTTCACTTCATTCGGGATAAGAGTGTGCAAGGAAAGCATTTTATAGACTTTCATTTTGTGGTTCTCTCTCTCTCTCTCTCTCTCTCTCTCTCTCATGCTCTCTCTCTCCCCTCTCTCACATTCACATATGAAATATTTTCATATTAGTTTTGGCAAGAATTAATACTACAATGTGATGCTGCTTAGTGAGGCTTTAATTTCAGACAGGCAAACAGCATTCAGCACTCCATAAAGCATTAGGCATCCCAGCGTTCGCAGCTTGGCAGCGATCATATGAGAATGTGCGTGTGTTCATGGAAGAAAGTGAGACAGAAAAAGAAAGGAAAGACATAAAGCCAGAGAAGGAGAGAAAGAAAGATAGACTGAGTGAGAAAAAAGAGAGAAAAGCCTTTTTTCTCCTGTTACAAAGCGGATATTGCTTCCCCACCGCTACCAATATGACACACATCCTTACAGGTCATAAAACCATCAAGTATAACCCCTCTGGACACACAAACAAATACAAATGTGTGTGCAGACACACACACGCACACACACGCACGCACACACACATCCTCTCTCTCATACTGAGGTCACTTGAGGTAATCTTGTGTTCTGCCATTTTTACTTTTAGGTTTTGGATTGCGCCTCTTTATTCTGTTTTTCCAGTGGTCACACTGACTCAGACCGAGAGGAAATGGAGGGGAGATGGCGAAGATGAAGACAGGAGGTCAGTGCTGAGGACACTGGTTGTTTACTCTGTACGCAATGAACTTTGTTCCACGTGAACTCAAACGTAAGTATGAACAATGGTCAGGTTTAGGTCAGTTTATGCCTTTTATCTTTGGACTTTTTTTAATGAACAATACAAATTACAATATTTAAAAGAACTGGTTGTTTTCATTTCATTCAAAAAAAAAAAAAAAAAAATGCTTTTCTTTAGCCGTTGCTAAATTGCTTTTTCTCTTTTGTGAGAGGGAAGAAAACAAGTATGAAAAAAAAAACCAAAATATAAAATTGTTCATCTTTTTAATTTTTCAGAAACAGAGCAAAACTAGGTTAGTTCAGGAATAAACCTTGAGGTGGTTGAATTTAGGATTTCACTTTGAAAAAGATTATGTTTAGGTAAACATTTAAGACAGGGAACTATGAGATCCATAAGAATACCTGTCTGTGTCCAAATTAAATGAATATAATATAACTTGAAAGTTATAAAAAACTTATAAAATAATATCTTTCTGTTTTGTTCTGTTATTATATTTATTATTTTCATTTCATATTTGTCTGTTTTATAAAGGAAAATATCTGCCGTGTCTAGCAATGGAAACAATTGTTTTGGATCTTTAAAAGAAAATCAAATGATGTTTCCTTTTCTTTGACTTTTTCTTTTGCCTTTTCATTTCTGTTTTGAAAAAGTAAAATTCACAAGACACAGACCTATGTGAGTGTCATTACCATGTAATTTAGGACCTGCAGCAGGTGCTAGTGAGAGGAAGCTTTCATCAGTGAAAGATATACACATATCCATATTTTTAAATATGCATATCAGAATAAATTTAGCAATTTGCAATCAATTTGTTTGTTCTCGTCACACAAAAGTACAGTGGAAATGATAACCCAGTTTATTTTTCTAGCTATTGTTATAATAAATATTCATTAGAGCTATTAGTGATGATTATTTGGGGAACAAAATTATTTTGCACTTCATGCCTCTTATACAATGTGATTTTCAACTACAGCATACATTCAAAATAAAATATGATATTATGAGCTGTGTACATGTATGTGTGTGTGTGTGTGTGTGTGTGTGTGTGTGTGTGTGTGTGTGTGTGTGGATTGGATAGAGAGAGAGAGAGTTGGCACATCTCAGATGAGTGCGTTCTTACCTTTAGCTGTGAGGTCAGAGTACCACCAGCTGTACAAGTTGAACTCGACCAGGAATCTAAATATGCAGAAGACATCAACCATAACAATACACTCCAACACTTATACTTACACTGCTTATATAACACATGCTGTAGCACTCTCTACAGCAACCTTTTTTTTTAATCAACTTGATTTAAGTTTCTGTGAATGTACAGAAGAGAAACTGTTAATTTTTACAAAAGGCAACTAATTTGGCTTTAAAAGCAACCATGGCACAGATATGAATCTTTGCTCATTGCCAGTCATGCCAGTAAAATGTCTACTGAGAATTCTTGTTTATTGTTATGCCTCCAGATCATGCAGGTTAGTGCTTAATCTGACTATTTTCATTTGGGTAATGTGGGAAATTATCTTCAGTCTTGTAAAACATCAGTTTGTTTTGTTTAACTTGTCAGGGCAGCAGCTTGTAAAACAGGTCATGTTTTGTTGATCTCATAATTAATAACGTATGTATACAGATGGTTGTATTTTCTCACTGCAGAGGTAACCTTATTGAATAAATGCTCCCTATATGAAGCTGGACTTGACATCAGCTGTAACGCCAAATAAAAACAATGTAATGACAATGAATTGTAAAGAGGATAGTATACTGGCATTTTCTAATTACAGATGATGCATTGTATATACACCTAGTATATTAATGACTTTACATATGCTTAGGGTAACATGCTTCTGTGTAAATTTTATATATAAGTTATGCTCAAGCCAAGGTGCCACTATTTAAGGCTTACTATGCTACACACCTACGCTGTATGACCATTGTTTTTTGTGACTTGTATTACATGCGATACATATTTAATATGATGGGTATTTATACAATCTTGAACTTTTATATATTTTTCATACAGTAGATGCATTTCTGTCAATTGTATGTTATTATTTAGCTCAAGTGGAACATTAGTGAAAAATGAAGGGCATAAAAAAACCCCCCAAAAAACACTAATATTTCAAAGACAAAATAATTTTTGACCGACTGTAAAATTACAACTGACAACTCAATCCTCCCATGATACACTGTGGTGACAACAGACCACCCAGGAAAACTCCACAACGTGGCATCACAGGAATACCCGCGCTACAGGAAACATCAGGTAGCCATTACTGCTCATGTTCACTGGTGATCACGTTGACGTACACGTGAAGGCACTGGTAAACAAACATACAATTGATATATACTCACAAACACACACTTAACCTCAGACAGAGGAGGCCACCATACGAGTCTTCAACTAGAATTACCGCCTCACGGTTGTGTGCCTCCGCCAACTAGTCAAGTTGCAGTTTGCATCCACGTCTGTCCAGACTCACATATGTAGTGAGGAGTTTGAAAGAATTTTATAAAAAAAAAAGTATTAAAGCGTTTTTTTTTTTTTTTTGGCAAAATGGAAGTTATCACTATATTGACATGTGTTAATTCTAGTGAATAATTTCCAGTGAGAAACATGCTGTCTTCAGATAGAGACTATTCTTCACACACGTCTTCAACCTGGGAGCGAAGAAGATCTATACGACCACCACAGTTTCAAGGTGGGCGCCCAAGATTAGTGTCACCAATTCAGTATCTGAACAAACGTGAAAAATATGGTCACAACCTCCACTTCTGTTGCCGAGTTACAGCGTTGAATAATGGCCAGAAACGTTGTGATGTCTTATTGAAGTTGACCTTTGACTTTTTGGACATAAAATGCCATCATTTCATCATTTTATCATTTTATCTCATGAGACATATGTGTGGAAATTTTTCATAATTAGGGTATTCATTCGTATTCCAAAAGAGGTGTTTTGTGAGGTCTCTCCAGACGTTCCTGAGATGTCACGTCATCACGAGAAATGGGACGTGAAAACACGGCTGTGGCCAGCGCGGAGGCATAAAAAAACACATGTATGCAGCATGCGTATGCTATTACCAACAGATACAAGACACTCTGACATACACAGAAGTCTTACATGACAAGCTCAGTCAGGATCCACTTCACAGCTGAGTAGAAAGCAAAGTAAGGCTGGATAAAAAAAAAAGAGAGAGAGAAAAAATATTCATCAGACACTAATAACACATAATACGCTGTCCCCACTTTACATCCCATGGAGCGCAAACAAGGAGGTCAAAAAAAAAAAAAAAAAAATGCAGTACTCACATCCAACAGTGTGTGTCCACTGTCACTACTCTCTGAAAAGACCCAACAAAGAGCCTGGTAGTCGTACAGAGTCACCCTGTGTAGATAAAGATAAAAAAAAAAAAAAAGAGAGGACAAAGAGTGAGACAGAGATAAAGTGCGGATGGGATAGAATGTTTTTAGATTTGACTTTTCATAATAACGCTTTTGTCGGGCCCGATACAGCCCGGATAAGGTGATATAAGTCTTGATTCACACATTCCCTCTATACTATTACATGCCTGCGGGGCCGGTTGGACTGCTGTGTGGGAGCAGGAAGGAAAGATCCCACCTCTGCTATAACTGCTGCGTTACCTACGGATAATATATTGGATGGATGTGGCAAGAATGGGAAAAGGAAAAGCAACTGAAAGCCGAGAGCTTCCCGAGAGGTTCCTCAAAGTGATGTAGGAAGGTGGGTGTGTGTGTGTAGATGATTTGGGGATATTGGGGGGGATATCAGAGGATTTAAGGGCTTAGTAGAGCCTGAGGGTGTGAGGTCTGGGTCCGTCTGGGTGAGGTTATTGAATGGGTTCCTAACACACACACACACACACACACTCACACACACGTGCACACAGGACACTCGTTCTTATAGCTCGCAGACAGTTCCCTATATATACTTGACAATGCGTTGTGTGTGAACGTGTGTGAGAGCATGTGTGTGATGTCTGAGTGGGCCCAGTCTATCCGCAGCCCTGGGCGATGTTCAAACCTCAGTCACAGTGCTGGTGACACACAGCTCCAACACACCGCCAGGAACCAATTAGTGCTAAGCCAGGCCACATAATAGTGTTAGCAGCAAACTTAGACCAATATAATATTTGTATATGAGTGTGTCTATGCACGGGTGTGTGAGCACGCCCTTCATTTGCTTTGCATGGGTGCATAACATCACTCTCGGCATGTTTATTGATTTGTCTTTCTGCTGCGACGGATAATCCAAGAGTAACTGAGAATAATTTGCCTACATTTGTTTTCATCTACAGTGGTGATGGTGACAGATACATTCGAGCTGTCATCTTGCGCCAACTTTAAGTGGTGCACTTTATAGACATCTTTAATGTTTTTTAATCAAGACAAAAACTACGCTTTAACTTAGCGCATTAATTCTCTACAGATGTTACTGGGTTCAGACAGATGGGACTGGATTCATTAGTGTTAAGATCTATAAGCTCTATTACTCATCATGCTAATACTACACAAGTCACATCATTCATTCATCATCATACGTCGTCTTCAATTTTAAACAGTCCCTCATCACCCGACATTAAAGATTCAGTGAAAGCTCTTTTAGGCCTCTTTGTTTTTTATGAGTGGGACTGTAAATCATTTGCTGTCAGCTTCTGAGGTTCATCCCCATGATAAACAGGCGTGGTTGTCTACTTGTGCGATGATTTGTCACTGATGATTTTTATATACCAAGACAGCATGGCAAAAAAAAAAAAAAAATTCCTCACCCACATCCCAAAGCAAAAATGAATGCTGGGTATAGTCCTGCTGTCGTGTTGGAAATGTGGTTGTAAGCTTCTGTGCAATCTAAATTTACACTTAACCGTGCAGCTTCGTTAAGTTAAGATTCCACAAATGTTAGACCATAGCAGTTTGACTCCGCAGTCAAACTACAGTATGTGTCGGTCAGTGTCTGCTTCCCTGTGTTTCTGCTCTGTAATTCTGGGAAAGGTATCCTCCTGGGTTAAATTTCCAAATTAATTGCAGAATGTCGCCACCCACCGCTCCTGGCGTTTTCCAGGAGACACAGCTCTACAACAAGCGTGAATGTGTCCACATATGTGTGTGTCCGTGTGTATGTGTGACTCCAAGTTTCTCCTAATTCCTTCATTTCAGGAAAAGATTTGCTATAATCCCCTAACGGAGAACTCTGCTGAGCGAGGGGTCGGAGTTCAGCGCTGAATAGCTCAACACGATTGGCCAAGTTAAGAGCTGTCAGCGCCAGGGGAGACATGCTCTCATTCTGCGGCCTGCCTGATATTATGCACATACATTTACACACACATGCACAGACACACACACACACACACACACACATACATACACTTGTGCTGGCACATAGAAGTACACACTCATACACCCACCCACACACACACCACACACACGCTCACACACACATGTGCGCGTGCAGTTTGAAATCCTTACCTCTTGAAAGAGCCCATCTGCAGAAGCTTACTCATTACAGCTCCCTCTGCTTCTCCAAAAAATTTCCCCGTCTGAGAAAGAAGGCAAAGAGATTTTCTTTAATAAAACAAGTCATAATAGTGTTTGGATGGCTGAAAGGCCCTTGCAGGTAGAAAAAATTGACACGTGCACAGTCAAGATTATCCATAAGAGAAACCCTCAATTACCCGACCCTGAAGCATGCAGAAATGACCAAGTGTCCCTGGCCAAAGAGAAAACTCAGAAACACCTTCTAGGAACAAAACTAAGAATAAAATCACACACACAGAAAACTTCCCAAAGCCTGTCCTCAGGACCTCGTGTTCCAAATACGCAAAAAAATGACATGGCACAAACACTTGGAACGCAGTTTCTGATAGTCTGCAAAAAGGCTAACAATCTCAGCTCACCTCATTTAGCTGGCTGAGATAGGAAGCTTTTTCTTTCTTTTTTTCCCCCTTTTGTTTTTAGTTTAGTTTGCTTGTCTCTACTGCAGATTCTGTGACGTCTTCGGAAGATACATCCTGTAGGGCTCTCTGATACTTGCTCTCAGTGGTAGAGCTACAATTAACAATTGTACATGGAGTATTATTTATTCAGTGTATCTACTGTGTGATCTAGTGATTACTTTTTCTCTCCAAAGTGACTTTAGCATAAAGTGCCAGAAAATAATGTGACAAATACCTATCTCTACTTCCCAAACGCAAAGGTGACACATTCAAAACACTTGTTTAGTGTGATCAACAGTCCAAAACCAAAAGGTTCAATTCAATTCACAATTATATTTAAAAAAAAAAGATAAAAGCAGCAAGTTATCATGTTTGAGAAGCTGAAAAGAGACGTTTAGTCTTGTGGCTTGAGTTGTCCATTTATTTCCTATCAATTGACTGATTGATTCACTGACAGATTGTCTCAGTACTTCTCACTGTGCTTCCAGATCCTAAGATTCCTGAATGTAATACAATGTATGGACCAGGGTTTACCTCAAGCCTGTAGTGTGGCATTACCTGTCCAGACTACCCCAAGCCAGGTGATGCCACAGGGATAAAAATACTAAATTATTAACCATCAGCATTAGACACCATCAGACACAGAGGTGGGAGGGTGAACCCCACCCTCCATCTCTCCACGTCCCAAATTTCTTGACACCTCGGAGGCAAAGAATCCCACCTCAGCTGCATCTCGCCAATGTAACCTCCTCACAGGAACAATCCTCCAGCTCACCCTCCACAGACCCACTCAAGACCCCTCACACATTTGATAGAACATTTTGACAGATCACATTCGTGTAACCTTGTTCATTGATGACATTTCCCTATGTCACAACAGTGAGACAAAACAAATCGACAAGTGGAACCCTAAATGCTCCATCACCTCCAAATTAAGATCAGATAAAGGATAGGAGCCGGCAAGTGAGAGACACATGAAAAGAACAAGCAGGGGAAGGGAAGGGCACTGACAGCCAGCGGACTGGCTGCTAGATGAGCCAAAACCAGAATGACAGCATGTCTGGTGACAGCTAAGCAGAGGGTACATGCTAGGGCAGCAGCACGTCTCCTTGAGAGCAGTCTATAAACAACATTATTATGCATGAGAGGCAGAAAAATGATTAGAAAACCAAAAAACACGCACCAGGGATTAACATTCAAGCTCAGCTCGAGACCAGAAAATTAATTACTGACTTGAATGAAAATCCACAAGCAGTACATTAATTCTGACAACTGTCACACTAAGACATTCAAACTTGCTGTTCATGTACAGTACATGTATACTTTCATGTAATTAATAACTAATTGTGGACCTCAAGCTCACAATCTGGCAACAACACAAGTAGCTAATATTGCTGATATCAGATGCAGATACTGGTTTTGTTCATTTTGTGTTTTCCTCTGACGATGAAAACAGGCTATTACGCAATCCTTCCCGTTGGTCTTGCCTCATCTGGTACTGTGTCTATGCGTGTGTGCATGTCTTACCAGAGTGTAGTCCTCTGCTACCAGAACGAAGCCGTTGTTGTCAATGAGGTAGCAGTTAATATTCTGTGAAACAGAAAACAGTTGAAAGTGTTAAAGCAGCCGCGAACAGCAATAGTGACAGAATCATGGAGGGTTAGTTGAGAAAAGGAAGTCTGACCAACCTCGTCATCACAGCTTATGGAGCATTTCCCATCTAATGCGGCACACTGTAAGATAATAAAAAAAAAAAATTAAAAAAAAGGTATTTGCATCTGTTGTTTTTGGACGTCACACCAAACTATTTTGCTGTTTGGTCGGGATCACAGATCCCTTCTGTCGGCTGAAAACCTTTGCTGTCTCCTAAAATCACTTTAAGATAAAGACATGGAATGAAACAGACTGGTGACCTTTACGTGTTAAAAGTTCTACCAAGTTTCACTCATCTTTGAGTCACTAAATATTCATAACGTGTACAGCACAAAAATAGCATAAAACAAGGGACACTTTTGTAAAAGCAAATACATGTGCTGCTAATTCTTAAGCGAGCAGCTCTGGGTAACAACCAAGTGGTTAATGTTTTCACTTTTGACTTGACTCATCTTTGAGCTGTATGTATTTTTAAACTGCTGTGGGTAGTGCAGTGTAATTGGCTGAGTCACAATAGGTTATTTTAGGTTTACAAGTGTGTTTGTATTATATATGTGAGTTTATGCATGTGTACCTGTCTGCTGGCTGTCCAGAATTTCTTCTGAAAGAACTCCAGTTTCATCTGGATGCCCACAGCTGAAAGGGAGACAACACAGTCACTGAGGCGTGTCACTGAGGCATGTGTGTGTGTGTTTGTGTGTGTGTGTGTGTGTGTGTGTGTGTGTGTGTGTGTGTGTGTGTGCGCTCGCTGTATGTTGGAGTGCATTAGCTCTATGATCTTTATCACAACAGAAGTTTATTTCATTAACCCCAACTAAAGGAAAAGCAAACAACTGCTGGACAAAATGGGCCATATGGGCAATTTACGCCCTGCATCATACATGCGTCAGCTCTTTTTTCTGGAAGGCTAAACGCGTGTGAGTGCGTATGTAATACGGTACAATCTACACACATCTGCGCAGACGCCGCTAACCACACTCAAAATGCAGTTTCACACGATTCTAAACCAGAACTCTCTCTCTCTGTGCCCACATGAAATCCATCCCATTCCTCAGTCTGCCTCCCTGTTGTTATCCCAACAGGCATTTTACAGAGTTGGTACACAGAGCTGCTCTCACACCCATAAGCTTCATCCCAGCAGGTCCCTAAATGCATGGATCTGACCAGAATTCCTTGCGTGGAAAAAAAAGCAGTTGCTGACATTAAATATGTCAACTTTTTCAGACTTGGCTGAGGAAAGATTGACACATTCACCACAGGCTTTAACTTCCCTCCTCTCCTCCCTGTTCGCCCCCTCCCTACTACCCCCTGCTACTAAGACTCAGAGGACCCTAGCTTTCTCTCAGTGGGGGTTTGCCATGCTTTGGGGGGGTGTGTAAGTATTTCCAGGGGCAAAAATTTAGAGCTTCATCCAAATGCAGATCCAGCAGCCACAGGTAGTAATCTGAATGGAAGAGAAGGTGGCATTTGGCTGGATTTCACAAACATTTTTTTTTTCTCAGTGGGAAGACCACACACTTAAAACAAAGAACAGACACAGAGGAAGAAAAAATGACAAACAGACAGCAACAAAATAAAGATAATAGTGGAGAATGTCATGGAATTTACTGCGCTGAATGAACAACCCATTTGTTGTGTCTAAAACGTGAAATTTTGAAAACATTACAAGGAAAAAAAAATCAATCCCGTCAACAGGTTGCCAAACACAAATTTAGCTTCCAAACTGGATCTAAGGATTTATTTGTTTATTGGGTTTGGGAGGAGACATTTGACAGGTTATACATCATACTTTTAGATTTCTTGAAGCACATGGGGATAACTTAATTGTTAAATAATAAAGAGGAAAGATTTGATTGGATTGCTATCCATATCTTACTGTTGGTATCAAACCATATTTAATACTGGAGTCGGTGTCGTCTACCTGTTATATGTATAAGCATAATGCAGCTAAGATTTATTCTTAGAATTAGATACTTATTTAATATATAATTACTCTTATATTGTACAAATGTTAATTTAATCTTATAGAATTTGGATTCTATACATTCATTCTAGAGTAAGTATTTGTATTACTACACTGTAGATATAGTACAAAATGCAGTGTTTCAGTTGTTTATATGCATTTGCACATAGAGAAACACATGCAAATGGAAGATTCAATGAAATGAGTGTGCATACAGATAGGATCCAAATATCAGTAAAGCTATAGCTTAAGAAAAATAGAATACTGAGAACATCACTGGATGTCAACATATGAAGGGAACATTATCAGTGAGAAATATTCCACTGGTTTGCACTTCTTTTAGTGTGATGGCATGTCTGCGTGATTGTTTAAGTGCAGTGGGGTGCCGCTGTGGCCTGTTTTAGCCCTTGCCCAGAGAAACAGGTGCAGATTATCCCATCATAAGCTTTGCCAGATCCTTTCAGCAGCCCACCATTTCTACACCCACATGGAAAACCCAGGAGGAGAGTCTAATTTAAGATGTTGGGCAACAGCGATGGAAACACACATGGTATGAAACCAGGGAGAACCTAGATCATTAAGCCAATAAAAGATAAAAGATCATCTGCTCCAAAAAAAAAAAAAAAAAAAAGCTGTCAAAACAAAGGAAATATTGAAAAGGAAAAAGATAAAAGACTGTGAATTCTGAAACATGAAACTTTCATATATTTAGAAGATGTAAGATTTGGAAGAACAACTCATCTGAAAGTTGAAATATTCCATTGACATCAAATGGTAAAACGCATCTGCTCAGCAAAGAAAATAATTATGGAAACGTAAATCCAATATGAGCAGTGCTCTATAAAATGGTATTAGAGGTTAAGGGTGCTCTGATGTTGGCTGGTACCTGGAAGTTAGCTCAGAACAAAGACAGAAGCCCAAATCTGTCTCACTAATGCTTGGGAATTTTCTGTACGGGGGGAACATTTCATTTCCCTAGGTATGATTTAAGAACTTGGGGGTATTTACGCCCTGAGCTGCTTTTATGAGTTCAAAGATGAAGAGACATCAAATCCACTCCAAATCCCCACCACCACCAATCTCCTATCAGTGCAATCCCAGGCAGGGAGAGATGACAACCGGTTTAAAGCCTACAGATAGGTGGGATTCTAATAGGGGTTGTATAAATGTATGCATCCATTACCATAAGGGTGCATCTGACTGTATGGATGCAACGTAGCAAGGGCAATCATGAGTGTGTACTGTGCATGTGTGTTTTTCTCTTTGTATAAGTGTGTGTGTGTCCATCAGTTTGAATCCCAGTGATCCCCGAAAACACCTCCATACAAGTGTCACAAACACACAGAGCTGTCTGGGAGAGATGTAGTGATTTGCAAATTTGGTGCAGCATTTGTCCAGCAGCGTAGCTCCACAGCGGTTACACAGCGCAGGGGCGGATCATGTCAAGACGCTGAGCAGCATTCAGAGGATGGGGAGAACAGGAGGCTGTTGTTAAGGATGCCAGCAATCTACAAGACTGAGGCTCCTGTGACCTTTACTTTCCTGTGTGTTCTTGTTGATGCAATACTGAGACTTGACTGGTGCAAAAAAACAGACAAATAATTTCATAAAAATCAATCTGCGTTGGCCAAATCCCAAATAGCTCTCTGAATGAGTCAGAAGATGTAACAGAAACGATCATATCCAAATCATGCAAACCGCCGTTGTGCTTTGCCCTTAAGGCCTCAGCGGAACATGCATTAAATGCGTCACAGGAAATGCATGAGTCACATGATGCTAATACACGGCATGATGGTTGGAGGAGGAATAGTAGGGCATGTTCTCTCTCTGTATTTTTTCAGCTAACTTGATGCTTAACGTTTTTAGACATTGCAGCACAAACACAACAGACTGTCTGGACTCATCAACCATATGGGCTTTTAGCAAATACAGAGGTGTCATCGCACATTTGAGGATGTATTTGCCTGTGTAGGTGTACATTACTACTCAAGAGTGCATGGGAGCGTGGATGCAAGTCTGTGCGTGTGTGAGTGTGTGTGTGCACGCACACAGGTGCAAGCCCTTATACATGCATTTACGTTATTTAAATCATTGTCATGAGTGCATTAATTGCTCAAAGCTAATATCTTCACACATTCACCCCAATAAATCAACTAAATATAACCTGGTGACAGATACTGACTTCAGTTTTTACTATAAATGACAGAATGAAAATAATTGTCATGCCCTTCAGCAGAGGAAAAGATATAAATATGGATGGACAGGAGGACAAACAGCAGGCCAAGGTCAGCTTGTAATTCATCGTTAACAATGATGTCATTAATCTCTTTCTGTCTCTTCCTTTGTTCATTTTTTACTTCTCCTTGAAGCGACCGATGAGCTCGTATGAGCTTAACCGTCAATCCATTTACATACAAAAAAAAAGGAAAAAAAAAAAATCCATGTAAATTTATTGCAACAGCTTAATATCCTGCTGTGTGTGCGTGCGTGCATATTTGTGCGCTCCGTGCTGCTGTGCTGGGGGCGTGTTCTGTCAGCCCTCCTGCCCACGGCTCATGCATAATATCTTCAGAGCATGCCACAGCAACGGGCATCCTCCGAGTCTGTTCGATGTGTTCAAGTGTTTGTTTAGACACACTGCAATCCAGATCTAATTTTGTCTCGTTCAACTCTTGCCAGAGCAATAGGAGGTAATGTGAATGTCAGTGAATGTGTGAGCGCCGTGATTTAAGAGACACAGCTGTCCACTGGGAGATGACACACCATCCCACTCACCAATACAACTGGGGACAGGGAGAGCGAGCGAGCAAAGCAGAGCGAGGGAGAGAGAGAAAGTGTTGATTTGGATTCAAAGGAGGAGCAGAAATAATAACAAAATCAAGAGAGAAGGGAAAGTAGAAACACGGGCAAATAAAAACAAAGCATGAAGAAAAATACAAGAGACAGAATGAGAGGTTGAGAGACAGTGAGAGAGCAACAGAGAGTGATACAGAGCGAGAGAGAGAGAGAGAGAGAGGGAGAGAGAGAGAGAGAGAGAGGGAGAGAGAGGCAGATCTCCCTAACTCCAATGATTCCCAGACTGGCTGGCTGGCAGTAAGCTCTGTGCTCTGATCTGCCCGCTCTGATGGGGTTTCATGCCCGTGCAGGTAGTGTTGGGGGATCCTGAGGGCAACACGGGGTTCTGGTGCTGCTCTATCTGCTAATTACCACCCACTGACCATATCAGCCCACACAGATGAGAGTCAGGACAAGCTAATCTCAACCTTACTGACGGCTGATGGATCATCAACCAATGACAGTCACTAGAAACCAAAAGGGGAGCTAAAAGATCAACAAATGCGAGCGGCCCGAGGACGACTGGCAGATATGAGAGGTAGGAGCTCCGTGTGTCAGCATGAACACATTTGTGAGTGTGTGTATGTGTATACGGGCATGGCTGTCAGCTGCTGAGACGAACATGTTGTGTAAATTGTTGTATAACTGAGTGATGATAAAGCACTTGCTTATACCAGCTCCAGGTGCAACACACAGGTCAACTTTACATTCACACTTTTACGTTCATGGCTGTGCATCAACATTGCCGCTGAATGCTTCCTGTTGCAAATAGGTATCGACATCGGTGCTGAGCTGATGTAAAGTGCTACTTGCTGTGGGTTATGTGTGCATGTCATTA